GATCTTCAAATAAGCTAATGATATAAGCCACCAAAAATTATCATGTAACAACCCAAATTTTAAGATTCGTCGGGGGAGTTCTTCAAAGACAATAAGTGATGAAACCCTACTACTGTAAAGGCTACTTCTCTGTAAAAGCTTTAGAAGAGCTTGATGAAGAATTGCTACTATAAAAGCTACCTTCATAATTCTACTACAAGCATTGTCAAAAGTCTTCAAATTTGAGAAGTCATAAATCCAATTTCAAATGGCCATATCAAATTCTCCACGATTTATAATAAAAACGTGATTATAAAGCCTTCAAATGGTCATGAGAATGATCTTGAATGGATAATAATTACTATGCTCCCCACGACAAAGTGATATAAACAATGAAGTTTAAAATCCGAAAGAGTCGAAAAAATTTGACGTTATTGCGAAAAACGATTTTACGAACCGCCAAGACTTGATGGAATCCTTAATTTTCTGTTCACGAAAAAAAAAAGATGTGCATTAAAAAAATCCAAAACTGTTCACCAACCCTTAAATTTGCAAACTTTTCAAAAAATCGGCTGAAACTGTCACTTTTTTGAAATTATGGAACTGAAAATGTAACTCTGCATCGATTTCACTTTTAATTGTAATAATTTCTGGAATTGATCCAAAAATGCCAAGCTGTGAAAACAACAGGGACCAAAAGTGTCAATTCGCTGAATTTGCAGGGACCAATAGTGAATCATTGAGTCATCTTCTCAAAATTAACATCTGGTGAAGCTTGTTATCGTATCACGAATCAAACAACTCTCACTTACTTTTGTTCCAAGCACAAACAGACAAATCCAAGTTCGTTCCAAGCACACTGATACAAAAACAAATCCAGGTTCGTTCCGAACTCTCACTTACTTTTGTTCCAAGCACAAACAGACAAATCCAAGTTCGTTCCAAGCACACTGATACAAAAACAAATCCAGGTTCGTTCCGAACTCTCACTTACTTTTGTTCCAAGCACAAACAGACAAATCCAAGTTCGTTCCAAGCACACTGATACAAAAACAAATCCAGGTTCGTTCCGAGCACAAGGTCCATCTGTGAGTTGCGAATCCAAGCCAATTCCAACAACAAACCCGTTCGTTCCGAACATCACATTAGCGAATGCGAATCGAGTTCTAGATGCGAATCACTGGCAAAACCGAATCCAAGCACAGGTTTGTTTTACTGACATTATGAACGTTCATAGGTAAGTGAGGTTTTTTCATAGTTCACCCTGATCCTCAGTCAATTTTGACTTTTCTAAATGTGCCTTTGACTATCAATTGTGAACAGATACACAAACACATTCTGCTTGCAGGACCATTACACCAACTACAAACCATCAATCTTCTTCCCAATTGAAGTCCAGCTCCAATTCACTTGTTCGCAGGTAAGGTTTTTCACACCGATTTTGACTTTGAGGTATGACCTGCAAATGGTGAACACATGTGCCAAATCCGATTGCATAGCTTCTGACTTCAACTCTGATTCTAAATGATCCTTCTAAACGATATGCCAATAATGATTCCAAGACATGCACTGTACTTCAAATCCGATTACACCGTTTTCAGATCAATAATTCAAAATTTGACCTTTAGCATCGACTGCCATGAATATCCGCTTAAATCATTTTGATTAAGATCGAATTCCGATTTCAATCGTTCCAAACATCACACTTCCTATTGCAAATCTTGTTCTTGTTCCAATGAGTCTGATTTTGGCTTTTTAAGTTTGACCATTCAAATCGAGATACGGTGTTGTTAATCTGTTCAACATCAGACATCGAGATTGCATTCAAACAAACACTCAATCGCCACTTCCGTAAATTGATTTCAATAACAGATAAATCATAACGATATCATTATAAATTTTCAAGATCAACACGAATCAAATTAATTAATAAATGAGAAAATCGATTTGAAAAAAAAACTTGGATTAAAACTGAAAAGAATCGATTGTCGATGTTGAACAAAAACTTGATATCGATTATTGATAATGACAATTTAGTGATCTCAGGGTTCGATTCATTGAATAGAATACGCAACAAGAATGGAAGAATGGAAAACAAGAAATAATTGTCAAAGCTTTAGGTCAACGAACAAGATCTACACAGCAACAAATTGAACAAATAGCAAAATCGATTTGGACTCAAGATAAATCGATGAACAGTAACAAACTTGGCTTAACATCGGTTGGAACAAACAATTGAATTTCATATCCAAATAAAAACAGTGAACAATAGGAACACGTGACTTGGGGTAAAACATAGATCTATTGAATCAAAAGACTTTGATCTCAAATCATATTAGATCCAACGGAAAATAATGAATTGAAAGAGAATTTGATCAAATTACCACAACGAATAATAGAAACTTTATAAATCTTCATGAATAGAACTTTGAACTAGAACCTTGATTCCAATCCGCCAAAACATCAAAAATCTTCAATAATTTGTGCAGAAAATCATCAAACCAAGAACCGATACTTCAAAAATCAATAGATCTTCAAAAACCTGTTCTGATACCACTTGTTAGGATTAAAACCCTAATTGTGAATTGATGAACAACATGCGGAAAATAAGAACAAACACAAATAAAGAAGATATGTCTAATGATCACTCGATTTATTCAAAACATGAGGAATAAATTACACTTTCAGAATAGACTAAAGAATCTAACTCTACATAAGAAACCTCACAACGCGGCTGCTACATTTTTCCTCACTCTTAACCCTAATTATGAAGTACATGATTTAGTCAGAATACATCAAACAGGATACAAAGAACACATCAAACTTTAAAAATTACATCTTTAACTTACAAGAAAAATAACACAAACAATGCAACTTTATGAGTAAACAACTTCCACTTGACTTTGTCCACTTCTTGTGTGAAAACCAAATCAGAGTTCTTGTCTTCTTCCAACTTCTTCCTGCATATGCTAATTTCGTTTTCCAAATTTCCAAGCTTCAATGTTAGGTTGTAGATTTGTCCCAAATCATAGTTCTTCTCTACTTCGTACACATCATCTTTCAGCCATTCCCAGAAATTACATTTTGGAGTTTTTACACTCTTAAGGAAAGGATAAAAAATGTTAAATTGAAGAGAAGATGAAGAAGAAGATTTAGTTAGGGATAATTAAAAAAAAAACATATTTACCAAAGAGTTTTGACAAAATCAAATTTTTTTCCGGGATTATCGGGTGTTTTTGAAATCTTCACACGTGATGGCATGTCGCACTTACATGGATGGTCAGCTTGCAATTCGACATTGCGTTTGGAAGAGGTAGGCGAAGCAGAAAAAGAAGAAGTTATTGTCGATATTGTCGATCTAGGGCTTTAACGTACAAACGAACCATATAACACCCTTTATATAATGAGGTGATGTGTACTGTGCCACATAGATGCCACATATTATCTTGTGTATGCCACCCAAGCCTTGATTTAGCCATATCAGCTGAAACTGATATTATTCAGTAATATTGGTGTAATTTAATTAGGTAAAACAAGTTAGTTGTTTTTATGTACAAAAAAGAAGAAGTTGCCAATATGTAAGCACATATAAGAGGTAGTTAGCCTCCTAAGTCATTTTCCCTAAAAAATATGAACCATGCCGGTTAGAACCACCGGAATCAACCACCTAACCCTTTTTACCATTTTACCCTTATATATGAATTAATAGAATTCAAAAATTCAAAAAAGCTTTTAATTCAATAATATATATGTACTATTCTCATTGGATGTTTTCATTTTCACAAAATATTTGTATTTTTACAAGAATCTCCTTTTTATATTATATATATATATATATATATATATATATATATATATATATATATATATATATATATATATAATTTACCCTAACCTGAATGGTTAAAAGGTAAAATTCAAGGGTGCATGGGCGGAGTGTGACCCCATGATTTTTTTGTTAGAAACAGTTCTTATAGTTTTATTAAAATATAAAATTTTGGTTGTAGCCTCTTCTGTTTACCAATTCTTATGCATATTATATATTCGGTTTTCAAATCAAATGTTAAAGCTCCGCCCGCAATGATGAATATATATATTGTAATATTGTATCAACCGCGGTTGGGATGTATGAGGTATAGTGGGATTATCAATCCATATCTACAAATGCTTCTCCTAGCTAGTGGCCCATTTTTTACAAAAATACGTTTACTAATCACTACTCTTTTTCCTTATCTCTAAAGTTCCATACCCACCACCCTTGTATATCGTCCTTTCCTGTCATCCTCATAACTCATGCACTTTTTGAAAACGGCAGTTTGTATGTGTGATATTATACTCTCAAATAGGATGGATCTATTTGGTCATGTTCAAATGTCATTCCCAGGCTCTCAAGCCATTTCCTTATAGCAAATATAAAGGGATATAGCAAAAAATTTATATTGCATTGAGCAAAGATCATATGAATTATGGGTAGACCGCTAGAAAATGAAAGTGTGGTTGCATAACTAGTTTCAACAAGAACTTTTATGACGACACAACGCAAGGGTGCGTTATAACTATGTGGAGGCTTTATAACCAAGGAGCACCCCCACATGGCGTGATGAGGATGTGCATGGTGAAATTAAAGGTGAGGCATACCACAAACCTTCACGTTCCTCTTTCCTTTCATTTGCTTATTATGCGTAGTTGACGTCGATTACACGACTCCCTTCTAAAGTAGTAAAGAGAAGAAACTTACCTATAAACACCACTCCCTTCTAAAGTAGCGGGAGAAACGAAACTTACGTGGGTGGAGTACCTAGCTAGTAGCCTTAATATCAACAAAATAAGTCTGGAAGCGTTGTTATGTTCTACTGTCTACTATCTTATGGTCCACTCGTCTTTATTAATTATCAGCTTTCAAGTCCTACCGTCAATTTACATATTCACGTTTCTTCTTTAGGTATGTATCATTATCAGACATCCCTTTAAGTTCCAACTCCTTAACTTCACACACACACACACACACACACCGAACAGAAATGGCATCTATGACGGTGGTTCTGTATCCTTCTCCGGGAATCGGCCACCTGGTTTCCATGGTGGAGCTCGGAAAGCTCATTCACACCCACCACCCTTTATTCTCTATCCTCATCCTCATAACTCCGGCACCTTTTGAAACCGGTTCCACCGAAAAATACATCAAAACCGTCTCTGCCACCATCCCTTCCATCATGTTCCACCACCTCCCCACTATCGCTATTCCAGCAGACTTGTCGTCTGATTTCGTCGCACTTAATTTCGCGATCCCACAGCTTTACAACCCAATTTTCCACAACACACTCGTAGCCATCTCGGAGAAATCCACCGTCAAAGCTGTGATCCTTGATTTCTTTACCAACGCTGCTTTCCAAGTCGCTAGAAGCCTCCAGTTACCAACTTACTACTTCTATACCGGCGGCGCTTCCGGTCTCTGTGTGTTCTTATATATGCCCACCATCAACAACATCTCTTCTGATTCTATTAAAGATCAAAATATTTACTTTGATATTCCTGGAGTGCCTCCTATCCATTCCTCCCATTTTCCAGCAGCTGTGGTTGATAAAAAAGGTAAAGCATATGAGAACTTCATAAACACTGCCAGAAACATGGCAGAATCCTCCGGCATCATTGCAAACACCTTTGTTGGGTTCGAAGAAAGAGCTGTTGCCAGTCTCCGGGATGGTAATTGCATCTCCGATGGTCCAACTCCGCCTATTTATTTCATCGGACCTTTGATCGCCGGTGGAAATCATGTGGATCCTAGCGAAAACGAGTGCTTAAAATGGTTGGACTCACAACCGAGTAAAAGTGTAGTGTTTTTATGCTTTGGGAGTTTGGGTGTTTTTAAGAAAGAGCAGTTGAAGGAAATAGCGATTGGGTTGGAGAGAAGCGAGCAAAGATTTTTGTGGGTGGTGCGAGATCCGCCACCAGATGAAGAAAACGAGTCGAATTCCGGTGGTGGTAAAGAGCTCGATCTTGATGCTATTCTTCCTGAAGGGTTTTTAGCAAGGACAGCGGGTAAGGGACTGGTGGTGAAAAATTGGGCACCTCAACCGGCGATACTTGGTCATGACTCCGTGGGTGGATTTGCGAGTCACTGTGGGTGGAACTCGGTGCTTGAAGCGGTGGCAGCTGGGGTGCCAATGGTCGCATGGCCATTGTATGCGGAGCAGAATATGAATCGGGTGTATTTGGTGGAAGAAATGAAGGTGGCACTGGCGGTGGATATGTCGTCGGATGGGTTTGTCACGGCGACGGCTGTGGAGGAAAAGGTGAAGGAGTTGATGGAGGGTGAAGAAGGGAGAGTGGTGAGGGAACAGATATTAGAGATGAGTGAAAGGGCAAAAGCTGCGACGGAGGACGGTGGCTCCTCCCGAGTTGAGTTCTCTAAATTAACCAATTCTTGGACCCCCCTGTAGCAAAATCTTCTTTTTCATCATCTTTCTTATTTTGTTTTTTTTAAGCATGCTATCTTTAACATCATCTACCTTACTTGGGTAGATTTGTTAAGTAAAATGCCTTAATAAAAGACAATTTCAAAATACAATGTTGGTATAAGAAAAAATCGGGTAATAGACGGTTAAGTTGAAACCACACCTCTATAAATTAACTATTTGATTTTTAAAGCAATTTGGACCTCCTTGAAGAGAAACATGTATCCTTGTAGAGAAGAATGTATCTCTGCAGGTAAGTTGTTAAAAATATTAAAACATCAACCAATTTAACAATTTTAAAAACTCACATGAACCCATAAAACCATTTTGTTTGATACGTGCAATCATTGTATATAGTAATTTTTAACTTTCATTTATAATGACATCACTTGATCTAATTGCCTGTAATAAGCATGTTATAATAGTGGTGTTCTTTCGGGACATGATCTAATTACCTATGAATACATGTGGACACAAATTGTTATGGTACACACATTGATATCAGATCACACACATACAATATATACACACACAAACATGTACATATCAATTCATCCACATGCATACACACAAATCAGATCTCAATCACAAACTATCTACGACTACTTAAAAAAATACCATAGGTTTTTACTTAATGTTTTCATGTTTGTTTTAACCCAATCAAAGTTTTTTTTTTTTTTTTTCTTATTAACACACTAGGTTATAACCCGTGGAAACCATAATCAGTATATTTAAAATTTTTATATAAATAAAAAAATAAAAAATGTCAAAAAAAACCTAAGATATTATCAATTGTAAGTAATTATAAATTAATTTGTTAAGCAAAATAAACATAATAATGTTATTAGGATATGGTTGTGTATTTTTAAATTTTGAATTGAATTTAATTTGTTACGAAAAAAAGAAAATAATAAAAATTATAGAAAAATGTCACGTGTCAAAAAAAAATTCTAAAAAACTGACACGTGTCATTTTTAGGTTTCATTTATTAAAAGATATAGATATAGATTAAGTTATGTATATCTTAAGTGGTTAAACCGGTAATGATGAATAAACCATATGTCATTAAGGTTGTTGGATGTGAGAAACATTTTATTGCATGTTACCACATCCAAAATATGTCATATCGTCATCCTATGCATTATGATACATGTATATGTAATACCTATTCCATGTATCATTTAATTTATCGAATTTTTAGGGTTTTATGCTTGGACTCGACGAGTTGGGGAGCTCCAATTCGTTGAGTAGAGTCATTTATGAGGACGCGGGATTCATATCCTACTCGACGAGTCGGAAGGCCCCGATTTGACGAGTAGGCACTGTAACGAGAAACCCTAATTTTCAGGGGTTTGTACCCTATTTAAACAACTTATGGCTCATTTGCAGCCTCTTCCATCGTTCCTACAGCCAGAGAAACCCTAGTTTGAGCCTTGCACCTTCTTGAGAGAGAAAGAGAACTTTTGAGAGTGATTTTTGGTGTGATTGTGAAGATTTTGGAGCTTGAAAAAGAAGGAGCAAAGAGGGAAGCAGTAGATCCGACACCCACCCTGTATTGGTGACCATATTGAGGTATAAAGTCACTATCTTGACCTTTAGTTGCTTAGATCTCTTTTCTTGGATGTAAATGGTTACTTTTGGTGCCAAAAGGGTGTCATCTTTGGATCTAGACTTGTCACAAGGATATGATTCCAGATTTGGACTCCTCTAGGTCTTCAATGACATAAAGTTGCTCACTTTGTTTAGCTTAGGCCCTTTCCATGCATTAAGACCTTACATGAACTTTAGTTTTGGTGTTTTAGCCTTGTGAGGCCTTGCACGCATGTAAAGTTTGCAACTTTAGGTGGTAACTACACTAAGAGAAGTTAGATATGAAGTTTGGGACCTTGGATCTCACTGGAAAGGACTGAACACAAAGAGGACTGAAGAGACTCATCAAGTGCATTAGACAACTCGACGAGTCGAGTAGGTTTTACCCGTTTTTGAGATTCTGAGTGATTTCTATGAAGGATTGGGGTTTTCGGTCTGCATGGGTTTCGGTCTTCTGGTCATTGAGGAACTCGACGAGTTACATAGGTAACTTTGCGAGTTGAAGATTTACTCAGGTAACTCGACGAGTTGTTGGATGCACTTGACGAGTTGAGGTCTACATTGACTGTTGACCTTGACTTTGACCAGGGTTGACTAAGGTTAACTTTGAGGATAATTATGGTAATTCGGGATTATGACAAATCAATTACATGATGATTATGGTAATTATGGAGCAGCACGTGGGATTTATCTGATCTTAGCTTATCAGTTCAGCATTCACGAGAGGTGAGTCTCCTCACCATACCAATGGGTCTAAGGCACCAACGCCGGCCCATTTTATGATATTGGTACACTAGCTGAAGTTATACTATGATGCATGATAGTTGGTTATGTACTAGGGAGTATGCTAGTTGTAAATGTGGTATACTAGCATGGAAGACCATGGGAACCGAATGTAAGACCATGTGGAGAGCTAATGAATTTCCGATCAAAGACTATGGGTGAGCCCATGACACTTAGGTGTAAGACCATGTGGGGAGCCCATGATATCCTGGAGTAAGACCCTGGGGACGAGCCTACGACATCCCTATATGTTGTATGTGTGGCTTAGGTGTATGTGTATCTATTATAGCTAACATAATATGTGTTTATGTGGATTGTATGTGGGGTATGCTCTGGGTAACTCACTAAGCATTAGCTTACAGTTTGTTGATTTGTTTTAGGTACTTCGGAGCCTAAGGGCAAGGGCAAGGCTTGATGGTGTGGCGTTCATTCTCCGACATTTGTTTTGATGGGATACTCTGTTGTTTTGAATAAAATGTTAATGTTATGAATTTTGAAAATAGTGATTAATGTTACTTCACAAATTATGGGAATATTTGGCTAATTAAAAATTAAAATTTTATTTGAAAATTTTAGGTCATTACAAGTTGGTAATAGAGCCTTGGTTTGTGGGATTTAGGCAGACATTCGGGTGTGTCAGGAATCAAACTATGGAAACGGTAAAATTGTTTTAAAAAAAGTTAAAAACTTCTTAAACTGAAAAAGAGGAGAGTGCAATGCGCGTGATCGGCCGAGCCAAGTAAGTAGTTCCCCAATGTGTTAGCCATGTTATACTGATATGTGAATTATGATAACCATATGAATCTTGCTATGTGTATGCTTTCAAAATTGTGTGCGGTTAGGGTTATGCACCTCTGACCACCTCCATGATTCCCATCACCCGATGTCCAACCTCGTTCCAACATACTAGGGTTATGCACCTCTGACCATATAACATCTCAAAAGGAGCTCTATCGATACTAGTGTGATAATTGTTGTTGTACGAGAACTCTGCCAGTGGAAGGTACGTATCCCAACTTCCTCCGAAATCCAGCATGTAGGCTCGCAACATGTCCTCCAATGTCTGGATCATCCTCTCACTCTGACCGTCCATTTGGGGGTGATATGTTGTACTGAAGTGTAGCTGTGTACCCAGTTCCTCGTGGAACTTTCTCCAAAACCTGGATGTAAACCGAACATGTCTATCCAAAACCACCGACACCGGAACCCCGTGCCTAGCAACCACTTCTCAAACATAGATGTCTGCGAACTTTTCTGTGGATATACTCTCAGAGATCGGAATAAAGTGGACACTCTTTGTCAGTCTTCCCACGATGACCCATATGGCATCCACCCCCCTCGCCGTCTTCGGTAGCTTCGTAATGAAGTCCATAGTGATCTCTTCCCACTTCCACATGGGAATGGGTAATGG